AAGAGAGAGACAGAGACAGAGAGAGACACACAGAGAGAAACAAAGTTCTGGCAAACCATGCCATGCTAAAATAAGAAACGTCTATGTAGCAAGATAAGCACTTTTGCACCAGAGGGCACTGTGCCTTCATGGAATGAATACTGCGTTCCAGCGAGAGTCCTTTAGACCACAATATATGACTCAGGAAAATACTTTTCTTTCTCTATAAGGAACTGGAAAGCTAAACAGTATCCTCAGAACCCAGGTCTGATTTTAGAGGAGAACTAGAATTCCAGGGAAATTGCAGAAAACCAGAGACTAAATACTCGAATCCACAATCCACAGCATTTTTTTACTGGTCATATTTGTTATGGTTTTGGTCCCTTTAAGAGACAAGCCACACCCATTCCCCTCCCCATCCGCTGAGGCAGGCTGATCTTCAGCTTCCGGCCTGAGCTCATTCTCTTTTCCATCTTCCTCTCGGAGAGGCAGCTTTGCTTCTGTCTCTCTCCCCACTTCTCTGCTTCCCCCTTCTCTGTCTTTCTCCTCTTCTCTTTCTCTCTCCCTCTTCTCTCTCTCTCTCTCTCTCTCTCTCTCTCCCCCTCTCCCCCTCTCTCTCTGACCCCCCCTTCACCCTTCCTCCTCCATAACCCCCTGAATAAACATTCAACCTCACCCTGCATGTCGTGTCTATCCATGTTTCTGTCTTCTGCCTGCCCGCCTGCCATGTGTCTCCCTGCCTGGAACCAGCCATTGCTCAGGGACCAGCAGCCGACTCTGCCTGGGGCCCACTGCCTGCTGCCACATGGCCCGCTACCACTGCTCTGAGACCTGAAGCTGTCTCTGCCTGGGACTGGCTGCTCCAGGGCCCGCTGCCTGCCACCACATGGCCCACCGCCACCATTTGGGACCTACAGCATTTCTGCTGCCTACTGCCGCGGGAATCTTGCAACAGTTTTAAAAAAGAACAACAATATTAGAGAGTATCGTCTCACTGTCAGTAAAGGGATCGACAGTACTACTGGGTCTCAAAGATACCCGGAAGAAAAGGCTACTGGAGGCGCCCATATAACATACCAAAGTGAAGGCCAAGTTCTCAGCTAGCATTTGTTCCAGAGTCCAGGCTCCTCAGCACTTCTCACCCCCATGCCCTGCCCCAAATTCTTCAACCCTCCAGCCGCTTCTCTTATAACAGCCAGCCAGTGGCTCGGTGCTCTCTTGGCCCTCAGCTCCTCTTTTCATCCATTTGTCCTCTCTCCTCTTCCCTCCCTCTTCTCTCCCTCTGTAGCTCTCCCCATCTCTCTCCTCTCATGGCTGGGCTTGTTCTACCATCCATGCTCAATTCCGGCTGCTCTGCCCGATGCCTCTGCCTGTGCTCTCCCTCATATCAGCAATGCAAACCTCCTCAAACGTCGTTACATCAACGAAAAGGCAGGGATGTCAGGTCTCAAACCTGGGACAGAAGGGTAGCTGAGGTGCCTATTTAATAGCAAAGCAAACTTGGCCTCCAGATTCTTCCAGCATGCCTGAGACCCTACCTGTTACAGGGTTGGCTGGCATTCTCCTCCCCCTCCCCTAAACTTTTCCAGTTCAGGGACTAAGATATCTTTCCCCCAGCTGTCCTTTCTTGTATAATCCAACCGTTTTGGTTACTCTTTTGTCTACCCTTTACTCTCCTGGCTCTCCTTCTCTCCCCTTCCACTCACGGGGTCCAGCGCAGGGTCATGTACACTCTGGGTGCCTCCACGTTTCTGTCTCTGGCTATGCTACTCCTTTTATCCAAAGTAAAAATTTCTCCCCTTTCATACCTAGAAGCAATCATGTCCTTTCTTTTTTGTTTCTTTTTTTTCATTCCCCCGGTGCCAAAACCCTCAGTATTGACACATATGGGTTCCCTGCCAAGGAACTCGGGCTCTCCAAACCAAGCGGCTGATTTGGCTCTCCTAAGGTGTGTGCGGATCATTTGCTCTGCCGACTCCTGCCTCCCGTCGAATTTGACTCCAAATTCCAGAGTTTACCTTCTCAGCTCCCTCTCCCTTGCATGTGTTCTAACAGTTCCTTTTCCCATGTCATAAGTGTCTCTCTAACTCCTAGAGACGTCATCCTTCCACGCCACCCACCTGGGTGTCCCCCATCGCTCCGCTCTGCCCTGCGAGAGCCATCTGGGTATCTGCTAAAGACACTGACGCCCTCTTCCCTGGTTCTCTGGTCTCAGTCCCACTCTGCCAGCTCTCAGCTTCAGTCCCAAGGCTCGCGGCTTCTACACTATTTAGCATCCTCCTGTGGTATCTATGACTTGTTCCCTCTCCTCCCGCTAGGAGCTGCCGAAAACAGTCCTGCAGCTTCCTTAAGCCCTTCTTGGCCTCTGTCCGGTCTGCCACTCAACTCCCTCCAGGAAATCAGGCAGCTTCCCTACACCCTCACGACCTCTAGATTTTGGAACCCTCCCTGAGGTGGAGTTCCTGCCTGTTCCTCCTTTTTGCTCCTGGCTACCCTATTCTTTGTGTCTCAGCTCCCTCTAGGAGCTCGATGGAATCCTCCCTGGGGTAGGGTTCATTTCACAATCCTTCCCCCTTTTCTCCTTGGACTCAATTCCTTCTTCCTCATATTCAGAGATTTATTTAAAGCCTAGTTGTCTTACTGCAGACAACTTGGCCTCAGTACAGATCAATGGCCAAAAATTGGCACACTGGATTTCCAAATTCTCACAAATCGTAACCACTGCCAGAACACACATAAATGATGCCAAATCTCTTACGTTTAAACTAGCTCTGTTCCACACTTCCTCTACTTCTGACTCTTAAAAATCTTTTATCTATAATATCTCTGCATTCTGTTCTCAGGAAAAAAAAATCTCTTTAAACAATTCTCTAACTCTATCTCCAGATTTGTAAGTTCGTTGGGTATGATTTTAAAAATCTGTAAAAATCTGTAACAAAATTTGGCTTTAAACTTATACCAAAAGGTTTATAATTAAAAACCTAGGGCTGGACGGTGGTGGCTTATGCCTTTAATCCCAGCATGGGGGATGGGGTGGAAACAGAGGCAGGTGAATCTCTGAGTTTGAGGCCACCTTGGTCTACAGAATAAGTTCCAGGCCAGCTGGGGATACATAGAGAAACCACCTCAAAAAGTCAGAGAAAGAGAGAGAGAGATCTACATACAGGTAATCTTAATTTGCTATAACATACTATATATAAGATTCAGCTCTTGTTAAGAATATAATACATATGTGTAGTAATAGGAGCGGCGGGGCTGCGTCCCCAACACCCCAGCCGCCTGCTAGCTTATGCCCGAAATAACAACACACAAACTGTATTCATTTAAACACTGCTTGGCCCATTTCTATCTAGCCTCTTCTAGGCTAACTCTCGCACCTGGACTAGCCCATTTCTAATATTCTATGTAGCACAGTTAGGTGCGCTTACCGGGAAGATTCTAGCCTACTTCCATCCTGGGTCAGAGCTTCATCACGTGTGTCTGCCCAGGAGCCGGGAGCATGGCGTCTCTCTGAGGCGTCTGCCCCCGAGAGGAGAGCTGTGGAGTCTGAGCTCACTTCCTCTTCCTCCCAGCATTCTGTTCTGTTTTCTCCACCCACCTGTGTTCTAACCTATGAGGGCCAGCCAAGCAGTTTCTTTATTTTTTTAACCAATGACCTTCCTCCATCACATATGTAACAGATTCAATTCCTATTTAAAAAATAGAAAAACAAATCTATATGATAGTTATTTTAGATATCAGCCACATGGTTGGTAACCATCTTTACTAAGGTTAAGGGGTATATGCCATGTGACTTTGCCATCTTAGCATGACCACATGGTATAAGACAATTAAGAAAGCAGCTATATAGTTTCTTAGTCCTACTGAGCCCTCTGCTTATTGTTGTATATCCTTTCTTGAATAAGAGGACAACAGTGGGTCTCCAAAATATTTTGGATTGTATGGAATTTTGTATGATGATATAAAAGTTATAAGGTCTAGACCCTGACTGCACCTATACCTGGAGAAGAAACCACCAGAACCATGGCCTCATCTACACCTGGAAGAGCAACCACCATAGCCTTGGCCCTATCTGCACCTGACAAGCCACAGAGTGGCATCAGAGACCACCAGAGGCATGGCTCCACCTGCACCTGGAAGAAGAGCAACCACCTTACCCACAGCCCCCCCCCCCTGCACCAATTGGAGGAAGAGGGACCCCCCTGAAGCACAGGCCCCACCTGCACCACTGGAGAAAGAGATGGGCAGCTGACAGTGTAAGAACACATTCCACAATGTAAAAGAGTGATATGGCACTAGCAGAAACTAGTTCTACACCACCCCAGGGGGCCCCTCAGGCTCCAAAGTGGCCTGCACTTCCTTAGCCCAGATGACCCTGCAGAGCCTGGAGAACAAGCAAAATGACCTCTCTCTCTCTCTCTCTCTCTCTCTCTCTCTCTCTCTCTCTCTCTCTCTCCCTCTCTCCCTCTCCCTCTCCCTCTCCCTGTCTCTCTCTCTCTCTCTCTCTCTCTCTCTCTCTCTCTGTCTCTCTCTGTGTGTATGTGTGTGTGTCTCCATCAAAAACTCCAGAAGGATTATAATATTACCTAGCCTAACAAGAAATAAGCAACTTCCAAACTCTAGAAGTGACAGAGACATCTTACTGCCTGAACAGTCACCCCAAGTTCTTCTGTACCGTTGGGGCATCCATCTTCAGCCTAGAGGCCCGTAGTATCCAGCAGACTTTTCCATGAAGCAGGAAATTTCAAAGACAGCTCTGCCTATATTGGCAGTTTGTCAGTCACATTCTTCTGTGTCCTGCAGAATGTCTGACAGACTCTTTCATGAAGTAGGAACCCCAAAGGACGGTCTCACCTTTAGGCAAATTCAGCAGTCATTTTTCTGCAGGTCCTGCATGTCTAGTTTAGCAGTTCAGGCAAGAGCAGTTCCTTGCCCAGATGGCTAATAAACTCCATTAGGAGCCTCTTCGATGCCCATCTTCCTCTTGAAGTAGATTGGTGCTGCCAGGAGTAGATGTGTCTCACTGTCATGAAAAGTCCTAAATTTTTTTTTTTTTATATGAGGCGTTTCCAACGATGTGTGGCTACTGGGAAAGCCCCATCGGGATAGACCTCAAGAAAAGTCCTAAATTTTTAAAACATCTAAATGCCATATTCTGAAGGTCTCTGAAAGATTTGAGGAATACCTAACTAACTGAAATATATCTCTATATATCTAGAAAACCTAACTAACATGACTATAAGCTTGACTATTACAGATGAGTATCTATTAAATTATATTTCTTAATTATATACTACATTTTGAATGAGCTACACAAACATAATACCTTAATCAAGATCAGAAATACACATACATATAACACAATTGACCTTAAATTTATATCAATAAATCAAGATCCATACCAATGCAAATCTCTATAACAGGGCTTAGGCCTGTAGGAGAGTATGGGATATCCCAGTGGTGGATAAGGACAATGGTTTGAGAGAAAGCTTTATGAATTATTGTTTGATGAGTCTGTTAGCCCTCTCAACCTTTCTCGAGAATTGTGTGCAGTTGGGGTATGGAGTTTTCAGATGTTGAGGGCTTCAGACACAAGCTCAATGACCCTGGAAGTGAAAGCTGAGCCGTTGTCCATTTGGATGCTATGTGGTACACTGAACTGAGAGATGAATGTGTTCAAGGAGTACCTGAACCACCACATCTGCTGTTTCCCTGGAGGCAGGGAATGCCTCTATCCATCCTGTAAAGGTGTCAACAAGAGTTAGGAGATAGGGAATCTTTTTATGAGTGGGTATGTGGGTGAAGTCAATCTGCCAGACTTTATCTGGTTGGTGTCCTCGGAGCTGGTGCAAGGGATGGCACATCTGGAGAGTCCCCTGTGGGTTGGCCTTGATACACATCTGGCAGGGAGGAATGGACTTATATGTGTGGTTTGGTGGCTGTCTGAAATGATGAAGAGTGCCTGATCCTGGGGGAAGATAAGGCAATTATTTAAGTAGAACCATCCGTCTTCTGTCTGTGTGTCCCCTGTTAAGAAAAAATAATAAGGGGCAGCTCTGCCGGTGCAAAAAAGTCCAATTAGGTCAAATCAAACAGAATCAAAATGCCCATTGTTTTATTAAGTAAGATGCTCTTGGGTGGCCAAGTGCATGGCAGGGAGACAGGAAAGCGGGGAGCACATATAAACCCAGAACCACGTGTTTCTCCTATGGGAGCCCACTTAAATACCCTGTGGGAGTGGACCTGGAATGCTAGGATTTGGAGTCCAAACCAATACAACTCCCAGGCTAGGGGGGCTGGGATGGATGCCAGGGGCTGTGACTACGCTCCCAACTTCACATCCCTTTATTCAGGAGTTTGTTTCTCTCCTCTAGTTGGTAACAGGACTGATAGGAGGGAGTCAAAAAACAAAATGCTTCCCATAGAGCCAGTGGAGCTGGAGGCCAGTCCCTGGGCTACTGAGTCAGCCCTGGCATTGCCTAAGGTCACTTGGTCCTTGGAGGGCTGATGTCTCTGGAGTGGGTTATGGCTGCCTCTGGGGAGAGCTGGATGGCTTCTAATAGCTTGGCTAAAGGAATCTGTTGACAAGGTGAGTGTCATTGGTAGTGAGGAAGCCCTTTCCTTCCAAAGAACAGAATGGGTATGGGCTATTAAAAAGGCATATTTAGAGTTGGTATAGTTGTCAGCCCATTGACCTTTACCTATTTGGAGTGGTCTAGTCAAGGTGATTAATTTGTCTTTGTGAAGAGGTCTCCACCAGCAGATGGGTTGCTTCAACCATTATAGTGAAGGTGACTGGCAGTGTCCTGATCTGTCTATAAGAGAGCTCCCATCAGCAAAGAGGGTGAATTGGGGGGTTGTGAGGTCTAGGAGATCAGGCCATGGTGGTGAGCATAAGGCCTCCACAGCCTCTGGGAGAGAGTAAGAGCAGGTATCAGAGGTGGTAGGGACAGGAAGGAGGGTTGCAAGGACAGGAAGGAGGGTTGCAAGGTTTAGGGCAGGGCTGTAGGTCAAAGTAATTTGGGTTTATTTCTAGAAACAGTAAATGAGAGATCTGGAGCCATGAGGGCCCAAGGAGGGAAAGAGAAGAATGACTCAGAAGGTCCAAGAGGTGATGGGTGGAATATACAGTGATTGACTGAAACTTGGTGGGGGAGGGAGGCAGATTCCATACCCAGGAATAGTTGGCTAATACAAAATGAATTCCATGTTTTTATATGTGGGCTTTGTTTTGTTGTGAATTATTTTAGCTTTTTATTTATTTGGCATTACTGATTTATTGTTTCATCTTTTTTTTTTTTAGAAAGAGAATGTGAAGTTCAGTGGGTAGGGAGGTGGGACCTGAGATGAGTTGGAGTAGGGTAAGATCGATAATACACTGTATGAAAAATATTTAATAACAACAACAACAATAATAATAATAATAAACCTCTTCCACCCCATTAAATTAATATCACCTTCCTAAAACTCCCAAAACTATGCTACATTTACCATCCAAGATGGCATCTAAAGGCCAGCACTTAGCGCTGCCTAGAGCGCAGGTGACACAATCTACAGAATAAAGAACTAAGCCTTCTTCACTTGCAGTCAGCCAAAAGCACTTTAGATCATCCACCCTTATACTAGTCATAAACAAAGGGCAATGAGGCTAAAGCTCAGGATCCTAGAGAAACTAAGTAATAAGGTGAACCCAAAGAAAAACATATATAGACCCACCTGGAAATTGGAATCAGACAAAAATTTGGGAGCATGGGGACGAGGAGTAGATGGGGGGGAGGAGAATGGGGGTTGAGGAGAACTTGAGGGAATAGGATGGTCGAGATGGAGGAAGGACAGATATGAGAGCAAGGAAAGAGATATCTTGATTGAGGGAGCCATTATGGAGTTAGCAAGAAACCTGGCTCTAGAAAAATGCCCAAGAACCCACAGGGGTAACCCAGCTGAGACCCTAAGCAATAGAGGAGAGGGTGTCTGAACTGATTTTACTCTATAGTCAGACTGATGATTATCTTAAATATCACCACAGAACCTTTGTCCAACAGCAGATGGAAACAGAGGCAATGACCCACATCGGAGCACTGGCTGAGCTCCCAAGATCCAGTTGAAGAGTGGAGGGAGTGAGAGTGTAGGCAAGGAATTCAAGGTCATAAAGGGGTCATCCACTCAGACAGTTTGCTTGAGCTAATATGGTAGCTCACCAACTTCAATTGGACTGGGAGTGAACAAGCATGGGAACAACCAAGCCCCTCTGAAGGGGGTTGACAACTGCGGCAGACTGAGGGCCACTGATAGTGACACTTGCATATACCGGCTTCATGGGATCCTATTCTCTTTGGATGTAAACCTTGCTCAACCTAGACGTAGTAGGGAGGGCCTTGGACTTTCAGCAGGGCGGGGTGCATGGCACTCCCTTAGGGTTGGAGGGGTGGGAGGTGGGTCTGTGGAGGAGGAGGGAGGGAACTGGGAGGACGGGAGGGAGTGGGAATTTGGATTTTTTTTTTTAAGTAATTAAAAAAAAAAGGAAAAAAAATCGTCCACCCTTACTTTCCCTTTCACTAGCGTCTCCCCAGCCCCGTCCCACTTCCGCCCTGGTGACGTCATTTCCGTGGAGCAGTTCCGCCCAGTTGTCACTGTGCTCACCGCCCGCCCCTTTCCCTTATGTGCCACAGTAGAGTATCGGAGTTTGGCGCCAACTGGAATTTTTTTTTTCCGCCTTCAATGGCGGGAACCGGCTGTGTGCGCCGAGACGTGCTTTGCGTCTTATCTGATTGGTTATCGGCGCTCGGTCCCGCCCTAGCGTCCTCCCTGCGGGCTGGGATTGGTGGAGACGGCGGAGCGCCTGGCGTCCCGAAAGCGGCTGCTGTGCTGGGCTGGCCGGCCGGGTAAGTTCCTGGGGGGCTTGTCTCGGGGCGGCGGGGAGAGGCTGCGGGGTGCCGTCCGGGACGGCCTGGGTTGTGGGCGCAGGAGCGCGCCTCGCCGGCCTCCGCCCCGGCTGCCGGCCTCGGGGACCGCCCTTCCGAGCGTGGAGGAGGGTGCTGGGGCGAGCACCGGGAGCATCGCCGGGTCTACCGGGCGCTCCTCCCCTCCCCCCACTCGTGTCTCCTTGCTCCCTACTCCCGAGCTCTCGGTGAGTGTGGAGAAGGGGCTGTTCCGGGTGTCAGATGCTCTCTGACGTGGGCTGTTTGCCAAGCCAGCACCTTGAGAGAAGTTGTTTATGTTGGTCTCTGCAGCGCCCAGAACCATCCCTGACATGCTAGCGAGGATGTGAAGGTAGAATTCGCAGAAACCTCAGCATGTATGCTTCAGGATTAACTTGCCTTTGCCTCTGACTTTTGGACTTCCTGGTCTTCTCTGTTCTCTCCACAGCACCGACACCAAACCTTTTCCTTAAGGCCTTTCCCCCATGAGCCTCAGCTCTTCTTTGGAAGCGAACAGGCCATTAGACAAGACTTCTTGCATCTATACCCAAATTATTTTTTCATAGTATTTCCTGCCGTTTTACAGGAAATGTCCAGAGATTTGTATCTTAAGGAATGTAGTTGATTTTTTTTTTTTTGTCATTTGACTGGAATTTAATTCCAACTCTCCACTTTGTAGCTGTTGGTCATGATAGATATCCTAATCAGATGTCAGTTTCCACATCTTTTTAAATGGGATTAGGAATAATATGGACTTGATAGGAACTTCAGGATGATTTAAAGTAAATCAATACTAGACAGTGTTTAGATCAATACTTGGCTCATAGTAAAGGTGCAATAAACATTGCTTTTCATATTTATCTTTCTCATCCTCAAAATCTAGAACTAGACTTGCCTCGACTTTAGTTTTTGCCTGTTTCTTTCCCTCTACAAACGTATGCTTTTCTGTATTGAAAAAGTGAACTCCTTCAGACTGCTTTTTAATACGCTGACCTTTCAGAACAAACCAGATGACTACTGTCTCTGCTTTTGCTTATGAATCTGTTGGAGCTGTCTCTCCAGATACGTGGGACTCAGCCTGGAACTTACAGTTTTTTTCTCTTCCTTCCTTCCTTCCTTCCCTTCTTCTTCTTCTTCTTCTTCTTCTTCTTCTTTTTTTTTTTTTTTTTTGGTGCTAGGGACTGGCATGTTCAGAACCC